GCCAATTCTCCGTGAAATCTGATGTTTTCAGTTTTGGCGTTCTTCTCTTGGAGATTATAACCGGGAAAAAGAATTCCAACTTTAGCGAATCAAGTGGAGCTGAGGACCTCCTTAGCTATGTGAGTATACAATCTAAGATATATATATTAAAATCTAGCTTCATTAACAGACAACTCTTTTAACCTGATGATCTGAGGCTGATAAATGTTGTAGGCTTGGAAACATTGGAGGGACAACACACCTTTAGGGATACTGGATCCAGTCGTTGGAGAATCCTACTCAAGAAATGAAGTCATCCAATGCATCCATATTGGCTTATTATGCGTTCAAGAAGTGGACGAGAGGCCGACAATGGCAAATGTTGTCCTCATGCTCAATAGTCATTCTATTACGAGGACACCACCTCGTCAACCTGCATTTTTCCTTAGTGGAAGATCAGAGATGATGCAGAAAGGGATAGATTCTGATCAGTCTACGAGCAAGTCAATGCCATGGTCTGTAAACGAAGTGTCCATTACTGAGCTTTATCCAAGATGAGGTATCCAGCTGCAGCGTTCCAGCATGGATGAAATTTATGCAGATTGAAAAATAAAAATTTGATGCATTAAATGAATATTGGTTTTTTAATGGAGCTCTTTCTGGCTTGGACATTGAAACTTTTACATGTATGTAATTATATAAGTTGAATTTCAATGAGTTGTATTATGAGTTTACTACATGTATTCCAAAATCTTATTTCCGGATGTGGTAGCTCTGATAATTTTTTTTTTCTTTTTATATTAGTCTCAATAGAAGTATCTACATTAAGATTTTGTGTGTAGAAATAAAAGTTGAGTATAAAGTGAGCGTACACATAATATTTTCATTGTAGTAATTATATTCCGGTATTCATTGCTTTTCTTTTTTTTTTTCTTACACCTTCCCCCTTCATGCAACAAAGGCAATCGTGGTTACCTCCTCCTAAAATTGATGTTTCTTCTTCTTCTTGTATTTTTCTTTATTTATGCCAATTTAAAGGGCAATCAAAATTTTTCACAAAAGCAATCTAATAAACAATTTTTACCTAGAACACAGGTGTCAATTTAAGGGATCATATTTTTAATTCAGTTACCTAATGTCACAAACTGATATTATGGTACGACTTTAATTTAATGCTAAATGGGGGAGTCAGAAGAAAATTGGGAGGGGGTTTTTGGATTGAGGTCTAGTATATGTACTCCTAAATTATACTCTTTCACTCTTATTTCATGATATGGCAAATAAAAATAGGCTATTTTCGTGGGTACTAAAGAATATGTTACATGCATTCGTGGGTTTTTAGGCTTTTAGCTAGTTGTTTTTTTCCGGTAAATATATCAATTTTTTGTGGGACTATTGAATGAGGGAATAAAGAAAAGTTATCACATTATTGATGTCACTGTCGCGCGCAACAGGTGTGGGCACTACACGTGTAAATTGGGTGTGTAAATATAATTTTTTTTTTATTTTTAGTTTTTTGTCAGAATTTTTTTTTTTCTTTTTTTTTTCTCCTCACTTTCCCTCCTTTCATATTTAGCAGTGAAAAATCACTAAATATCTTACATGGTTGAGGCTGTTCTAATGATTAAAATTTAAATAGATTTTTAAATAGATAAATGATGAATTAATATCATCTAGGGTCCTTCAAATATAGTGATTTTGTCACTTTTAGTCTTAAATTTTTAAATTGATCACTCGTGATTATTTGGTTTTCAAATTGTTACCATCCGTGATCCGAGTTAACTAGTTATGATCTTTCAACCATCAAATTTTAAGCATTCATGGTCCTTCCAAAAAGACTACGACTGGTTAAATTTTAAAAATTGAAAGACCATAAATAATAAACTTGGACCATAAATAAAAATAATTTAAAAATCAAAGAATCACAGATAATCAATTTAAAAGTTTAGAACGTAACCAAATCAAGTAAATGATAACATATGACATTAACTCATAAATGATTGATAAAAGTCATGCAAAACCCTCCAAAGTCAAAGTAATTAAATATTGTGTAGGAAATGGTAAAGTAGTGCCAATCAGTCACCTGTCAAAGTCCTCTTCGTTTGAAAGGGGCAACAGCAGGCGAAGACTGGAAGCTGCCAAGCTGGTGATATGTGTTTCCACTATTTCAAGATTCCCATCCAGTCTTGTCTCTCCCAATCTTCTATTGTATTTTTCCTTTTAACATGTTATAAAAATAAAGTAAAATAAAATAAAATGTATTTTCCTTTTAACATGTTATAAAAATAAAGTAAAATAAAATAAAACCACGAAATGATTGAAGGATGAGGTTAAAGCAACCCCGCCCATTTGTAATATTTGGGAAGTTTTTTTAGAAATAAAAATTTGATAGTGGTTTTTTTATTAACTAGTATTTTTCATGTGTAATGCAGGAGCACAATTTTAGAAATATTGTTTTAATATTATGATACTAAGTATATATAATTTTATTTAAATATAAATACAATTATACAATGTAATATTTAATTTTTTTTTGAAATTTAACTATAAAATGTTAAACTTATTTATTTAAAAAAGGTTATCTAGGTAAGAACTATGTTGATTTTATATAGAGATTTCTTGTTTTTTACATATGTGAAGTCCAATTATAATTGAGGTGTGGTTCAATTATAATTAACATTAAATAAAAATTAAGATCTCTTTATACGCGTAATATTATCTTTTAAAAGTTTCATCTAATTTTAGTATTTAATGAAATTATAACTTTGTACGTATGTTTTAGCTTGTATCTTATGTGTTGTATAAATCCAAAAATCTTTATATATACATACATACGTGTATATATATATATATATATATATATATATATATATATATATATATATAACTTATTTTTGGGCATTACATAAATAAAAAAATAAATCAATTAACATTTTTATAATATAATAAAAAATAAAATTTTTAATAGTACAAATGTTGGGCTAATACATAGGTTACATTTTTTTTATTTCTAGTCCAAAGCTAACCCGTTGTTACAACCCAATACCTAAAATCTATTAAACCCATAAATATTGACTATTTTTTTCGCGTCAATATTGTTGTTACTTTTTTTATAATAAAGATGGGAGTTAAATCTAAGGGTGTGTTAGGTTGTGGACTTTTGCATCCTACTACGGTTTTGATACTCATTACCATGTTTGTTTGTCTACTTTTGTTATCTTATTATTGGAATCGAATCATTTATAGCACGTTTGGTTCACGGAATGAATTTGGAAGGAATAAGAATGTTATTCCATAGCGAATGGAATATGTAAGAAATAGAACAGGAATTGTATTCTATTGTTTGGTTCGCTTAAGGAATAGAGTTTAGGAATTGTATTCCAGTTTTGTTAAAGGAATAGAAATGGAATAGGTTTTAAAGAGATAAATACCCTTATACATAATAATAATAATAATAATAATAATAATAATAATAATAATAATAATAATAATAATAATAATAATAATAATAATAATAATAATAATAATAATAATAATGATATATTGAACGTTATATATATACTAGTTTTTTAAGCGCATTGCGTGATTGGGATAATGCCTAATGTTTTTTCTTTTTAATAAGTACTTTAAAGTATATCAAGACAAGATTATATTGGAATTGTTCATGCATAGATAATTGAATTCTTTGGAGGAGCTTAAAACTTCTTTAATGATATGGTCAATTGTACCCAACACTGGTTGAAATGTTGAATAGTCTTGCACACCACCTCAGTAGCTATTTCCATTCTTCTATCCATTGACAATATCTAGTTCAGAGGAGTCTCTTTTTCATTGTCATGTTTGTCACCCAAGATGAGATTTACATACACCATGACCGGTTTTATCGTTTCACGCTTTATGAAAAAAAAGAACTCGGCAAGTAAACGAGAGAAAGAAACTCGTCAAAACAACAAGAGGAAAAATACAGAAACTGCAAACAAAATTAAACTAGTAAAACAAAGCAAACGGAAACAGACGTGCGAAAATAAGGGAGTAACAACCGGTAGCGGTGTAGATGGAGAGGTGGGGCCAGGCGTAACCGGTGGCGAAGGCGGAGAGTGGAAGAGAAGACGGTGAAGGCAGAGAAGACAATGAATGCGAACATTGTTTGCGGTGGAGATGGCGGCAAGAGAAGACGATCGGACGCCACCTCCGATCCGCTTGCTTCCTGGAGGCGAAGGTCGTGTAAAAATTTGATCAGTCGAAAACCAGAGACGAGAGAGAATTAGAGAAACCCTCTAAATTATAAATTTTTAAAAAGTAAATTATAAATCCAGTACCATTTTACTCCTTTATTTTTTAACAATGAAATAGCAAATAAAGGAGAAAAAAATGAAAAAAATAAATAAATAAAAAGGTCCTTATCTATGCATTAAATATGAAATTTTAATATATATGTGTGTGTGTGTGTGTTATATTTATTTATTTTTGTTATTTATTTTTTTGAACAATATTTATTTTTATTATTTATTTTGTTTTCAATTTTTATTTTATACTAAACAAAGTGACTTCTTATACTTCAATCAATTATCATTAACAAGTGCCCGTATGGGTAGCTCAACTGGTCATAGAGGTGAAACTTTTGAAGAATGATCACCGGTCTAGCCTTTGGGCGAGAGTAGTACTAGGATGGGTGACCCCACCAAACTCTGTTGGGCGAGAGTAGTATGGCGCGGGGTCCCTTAGGGTTGGGTTCAGCCTTTTGGAAGAATTATTGATAACAAGTATTGATTCTCATTCTAATATTTGAACCAAATACACCCTAAGTCATGTCCTTGATTTTCCTTGTCATATTTTATTATATATTCAGATGAAATTTGTATAAAATTTAATTGGTGTGGGTTGTCAAGATTTTCAAAATGTTGCCGTGTAAAACTTTTCTGACGCTCAACTCCTGTCGTCATCAATGCCTAGCTAAGTTTCCACAACAAATGAACAAACAACGGTACTTCGTAGTCTCTTCCTTTATTGGATAACAAAATTGTTGGTTTTACCACATAGAGCTTAGAGCTTACATGGTGGTCAACACAATCGGTAGGAGATTATGTATCATCCATTCAGTTGCTTTCTGCTTGGCGGCTACATCCTCTGCATCTGCTTGCCGATCACTCTGTTCGTCGGAACTGCCTCCCAACATCTCGGATATTCTTGCCGTCCCAGCTCCTCTACTTACGCTCTCAACAGCACTTATCGAGCCAATCTCAATTCTCTCCTCTCCGTCCTTTATTCCAACGGCACCCGTGAAAGTGGGTTCTACAGCTCCGTCGCCGGAGGTCGCGACGCCTCCGACACCGCCGTGTACGGCCTGTTCATGTGCCGGGGTGATGTCTCCACCAGCGTTTGCAGGGGGTGTGTAAGCAATGCTAGCGCAACCGTGTTGCAGCAATGTCCCAACCAAACGAGTGCAACTATCTGGTACGATTACTGTACGTTGCGTTACTCCGACAGACCTATATACGGGAGAGCCGACCAGAGTTTCGTCGTGTTAAATTTGCTTGACAATCGGAACGATTCTCAACCAGATATGTTCATGCTGTCGGTTAGAAAGACGTTGGATCAGGTGGCCACTCTAGTGGTCGGCGATCAATCCTCCGACAAGAAATTCGCGACTCAAGAAGCTAGCTTCACCGCGTCTGAGAGTATCTACAGTCTTGCGCAGTGCAGGCCGGATCTTTCCGACTTGGACTGTCAGACATGCCTAGCCAGTGCTATCCAGCAACTGCAATCTTGTTGTTATTCAGCATTGGGTGCTAGATCTATCACCCCAGACTGTAATATTAGGTATGAAACTTTCCGTTTCTACAATAGCACAGCCGCCTCTGCGCCACCACGGGCTCCGTCTCCGATCCCTCCTCCTCCACCCACTTCTTCAACAAGTCCAGGTAAATAATTCTTGGATTATCTTTTCTTTATTTTTTATTTTTTATCGATCTATAATTTGTCTGGTGGCATTTTTGAGTGGATGATTATGCTGTGCAATCGTGTGCACCACCATGTAAGGTGCACACGGAATTGGATTCATAATTTCTATACTATATATTTATAATTTCTATAATGTGAATTCATAATTTCTAAATCGTAGATTTATAATTTAAATACAGCAGATTCATAATTTCCATACTGTAGATTCATAATTTCTAAACTGTATAGTTATCAAATTATGAGCATATAGTTATGTGATTTGTGAATACAGAGTTCAACAATTGGAGATATGAACATAGAGTTCTGTAATTGTGAATATAGAGTTCAATATTTGGGAAAAGGGTCAAATAGGCCATTGAACTTTAGCTTAAAAGTCAATTAGGCCCCTAAACTTTTTAAAGGTGCAATTATACCCATCAACAATTCATTTAGGTGCAATGAAGCCCAAAAACAAGTTAATGATCTGCTATCATAAGTTATTAGGGTTCAGGCCACCTTCCAGCAAAAAAAAGTGACCAGTAACCGACCCAGATTTGCCAAAAATTTCGCCGGTCACTTTTTTGTCGGAAATTTCACCGGTCACTTTTTTTTTTTTTTTTTTTTTTTTGGCCGGAAAATTCGTCGGAAGGTGGCCTGAACCCTAATGACCTGTGATAGCAGGTCATTAATTTATTTTTGGGCTTCATTGCACTTAAATGAATTGTTGAGGGGTGTAATTGCACCTTTAAAAAGTTTAAAGGCCTAATTGACTTTTAAGCTAAAGTTCAAGGACCTATTTGACCCTTTTCCCTTATGAATATGAAGTTCAAAAATTATGAATTTATAGCTTTATAATTATGAACATATAGTTCAGTAATTATGAACATAGAACTGTGTGCACCATTCATAACACACACGGTTGCACAACATAATTTGCCTTTTTCAGTGTGGTGGGTTTCGTCGTTTCGGTTTGTTGAGCGGAGGCCCATAAAGGGCCCAAGTCCAACATTAGTAGTTTGGGATTTTTAGGGGAGGCTTGAACGTCTTAGTCTAACATCATGCAATTATTATTGTGTGGACCATATTTTATATATTGTAAAATAATGTATATTCAGTACAAAAATAATGTACATTGTATTCAGGGGGTGTACATTATTTTTGTACTGAGTGTACATTATATTGTATAATGTACATACAGTACAAAAATAATGTACATTTAGGCTCTGTTTGGCAGAGCTTATTTAGGAGCTTATAGCTTATTTTAAACTACTAATAAGCTATAAGCTCTGTTTGGTAATGTTTCTAAAATAAGTTTCTAGCTTAAAATAAGAGCTTATTTTGGAACGCTACCTTAGGTAGTGTTTCAAAATGAGCTCATAACTTCCAAACTTTTTTTCCATATTTATCATTATTATTTTAAAGAAATGACATAATTTACCCTTCCCAATTAAAACTCTTTACTCTTCTCCTTTATCCGCAACTTTCAATACAATTGTTATTATTATTATTATTATTATTATTATTATTATTATTATTATTATTATTATTATTATTATGAGATTTGCAACAATATTTTTACTTCATTATGAGATGCTAGATCATTATTATGCTAATAATTTTATTTCAAAATGTTAATTTTTTTTAAAGACAAAATGTTAAATTTTAATATGTAAACAAACTAATTTAAATTTTATGAAGATGTCCTTTTTAGTATTTCTACATTTATCAGTTTATCAAGAAGTTAATTTACCAAACACTTTCAATCATAACAACTAGCTTAACATCTCTTCAGTTTTCAGCTCCGAGCTTATAACTCTTCAGCTTTCAGCTCCTAGCTTATAGCTTTTCAGCTAGATTTGTCAAACAGAGCCTTAGTTTATTAAAAATGTACTTTTTGTTATGGTCCACATAACACTGTGTGGACCATAGTCCACACAATAATTTGCCAACATCATGCCTCTTAAAAGTATTGTGGTGGACTATATAAGAAAATAAAGTTGCGCGCTTTGCTAATCCTAATAGGTGGTGATGGATACCCAGCATGAATACCTAGTCCGTACCACCTAGCAAGCAGTCAAGCATGACACTCGGACTCAACAATCAGCACTTGGGACATGTTATAACCTCCAATTAATTGCCCATATATCGTATTAATTACCCATAAATGTCCAATTATTATAGGGAGCCTACTTACCATGCATGTACACTACTCATTCTTCTACTATAAAAGAGGGTAGTCAGGAACAAAGAGGCCGGAGGACAATGATACATGTACAAAAATGCTTACAAAATAGTGAATTTCAGGCTTGGTACCTCCCAAAGAAACTCGTAATTTTCACCATTCGATTTTCATGTTAAAATTTTTGTCTCTATTTATTTTTTCACTTATATATATATTACTTGAATCAGTTATGTTGACCCGCCGAGTGATTACTCCGGGTCACAAAACCAACATGTGGTATCTAAATCTAGTTACAGGAACGAGTCCCAGTAAGAGTATACTATGCAATTAAGCCTGGCTTATATAATTGAACCTTTGCTATGAATTATTATAACTTTGATGTAGTGATAAGCCGTGAAACAAACATTGTTGATGCAGGAAACAAAGGAAATTCTTCATCAAAATTGATTATTACCATTGTAGTTCTGGTCATTGGGGTTATACTCTTCATTGCCATCTTCTGTTTTGTGAGAATCAAAAGAGAGAAGAAATCAATAACTACAGCACAGACAAAAGGTTAAGAACCAGATTGATTGAGATTTGAGATTTGAGTTTCTCTGCCCTTAATTGTATTACTATTACCATATTTGCAATTCACAATTTTGTAATCTCCATCTTTCCCGTAGATGAGTCTGGGATTTCAACTGAGGCGTTCTCCCAATACAATTTTGCTACAATTCAAGTTATTACAAATAACTTCTCACCAGAAAGTAAAATTGGCGAAGGTGGATATGGTTTTGTATATAAGGTGAAGTCTTTGGCTATGCTCATTTTAGCCTATTGTAATGTATTGTTTATTGATAATAACTAATACTCGACCAGGGAAAGCTTCCTAGCGGACAAGAGGTAGCTGTAAAAAGACTGTCAAAAAGCTCAAGACAAGGAGGTCAAGAATTCAAGAATGAGGTTGGAGTTGTTGCAAAGCTTCAACATAGAAATTTAGTAAGGTTACTGGGATTTTGCTCAGAAGACAAAGAAAAGATACTCATTTATGAATTCGTTCCCAACAAAAGTCTTGACTACTTCTTATTTGGTTAGTTTAAATCACAGAAGTTTCATAGTTCAGTTCATCTTATCTTGAATGTTCACTTTCTACATGCACTGTAGATTTTACTATGGATTCTGGTTAAATTCTTGTTAGGATTTTTAAACTGAAACAACAAACTAACACTGGAAGATTTCTTCATTCTAGTACTGTTTTTCTGTACCATTACTTTTTCATTTTGGGTTTCGAATTCTTGTGTTCTGAAATTAATTAAGTTACATAATTTCCCTATATATCTGTGTGACATACATTTTTGTTGTATGCAGATACCGAAAAGAAGCACCTTTTGAATTGGTCAAGGCGATACAAGATTATTGAAGGGATAGCGCGAGGGTTGTTATACCTACATGAAGATTCTCGTCTTAGAATCATACATCGTGATCTCAAGGCAAGTAATGTACTGTTGGATGAAGATATGAACCCAAAAATAGCAGATTTTGGCTTGGCCAAAATTTTTGGAGCTGATCAAACCCAAGGAAATACAAGCAGAGTTGTTGGAACCTAGTAAGTTTTCCTTTTCATCTTTAGCTTAGTGCATCTACAATCTCAGCGAGCAAACAACAACCGTTAGATCCTTTGTTGTTCAATCCATCATTGCAAAAAACTGTCTTCATTCTGACTATAACTTAGAAATTCTTCATCTGTTTCCATGTCTCTACTAAGATGTTAAATTTATGTAATGACTGATAGTGGCTACATGTCTCCTGAGTATGCAATGCATGGCAAGTTCTCCGTGAAGTCTGATGTTTTCAGTTTTGGCGTTCTTCTTTTGGAGATTATAACCGGGAAAAAGAATTCCAACTTCAGTGAAACAAGTGGAGCAGATGACCTCCTTAGCTATGTGAGTAGAAAAACCATCATAAAATCTTCTAAATTCTGCAAAATCATTAATATTGTTAACCATTTTATAACTTAATGTTGTAGGCTTGGAAACATTGGAGGGATGGCACACCATTAGGAATAGTGGATCCAGTTCTTGGAGAATCGTACACAAGAAATGAAGTCATTCAATGCATCCATATAGGCTTATTATGCGTTCAAGAAGATGTCAATGAAAGGCCTACAATAACAAAAGTCGTCCTTATGCTCAATAGTCATTCTGTCACTAGGTCACCGCCTCTTCAACCAGGATTTTTCTTTAGTGGAAGATCAGAGATGAAGCCCAAATGGCTAGAGTCAGATCAGTCTACGAGTAAGTCGATGCCATTGTCTATAAATGAAGTGTCCATTACTGAGCTAGATCCAAGATGAGGGAATCCAGCCATGGAGTACAAAGCAAAGTCTTTTGGGATCATCTTCATGTGCTAGTATTAGTTGTATGATTCTTCTGTAACCATATGTGGACATGGAGCTGTTCCTAATCTGTAAATTTCTGTTCATGCTGGGGATATATAATTGAAATTCTTCTGCAGAAGAGATCATTGCCAAAGTTGAGAAAATTAATGTTTGCAACAAAGCAGAATGCAAATAAGATTTATTAACATGCAACTTGGTGAGTTCCATTAAGAGGACAGGGCAAAGGTACAGGATGGTTGACATCAGCTTGAAGCCTGAGGGGGATTACTTGGAAATTACATTTAGGGGGCGTTTGGTTCTGGTCATCTTAGATTACCTAAGTAATATGAGTCGGGTAATGTTATATTACCTTGTTTGGTTCAAGCTATGAGATTACCAAGTAATGTTATATTACCTGAAAGCTGATGTGACGTTAATTTTTGAAGATAATGTGATTACCCTCATTTTTCTTAGGTAATCTCAGATTACCTTGAATTATTCCAACTTTGTCCTTGTTAAATAATCCTTATATAATAATAATAAGAGCAAATTACACTTTTGGTCCTGTGACTATTGGGGGTGTGTTAATTTGGGTACGTGACTTTTAAAAGTAACAATTTAATCCTTTGACTATCGTTTTTTTAGCAATTTAGGTCCTCCCGGCCAAATTGCCGGTTGAAATCGGCCGGAAAGATGTTTCAAATAAAAAAATAATATAATAGCGGGGGTAATTCCGTCTTTTTAGGTGTAAAATAATTAGTTGCAAATTATATATTATCCGTATTTGGTGATATGCGAATAGCCTTGTACGAAGAACCCTAATTGCATTGCAGATTTGTTGAGCAGGGGGCACGAAGAAGACGAACCCAGTACGAAGAGAAGAAAGCAGTGGCACGCATCATTCCCCATCTACTCGTTCTGGGTATGGCGAATTCGTATTCCTCTTGTTCTTCCAATGATGGTAGTGAGTACTATGAATTTGGGGAAAGGTTTCCAATTATCCATTGTAGATGTGGTGAACAACTGAAAATTCGAACTTCATGGACAAATGAAAATCCAGGTCGTAGATTTTGGCAATGCTCCGGTGGTAATGTAAGTTCTGATTTTATTCTCTCCAATTTTTGTTAAAATTTTTCTGTTAATTTTCGAAGGTAATTGAGTTTTTTTTTTTTTTTTTTTAATTAATTCAGAGGAAGGTGGGATGTGGATTTATTGATTGGTATGATCCTCCAATATGCTATCGTTCAAAGAAAATTATTCCGGGATTACTAAAACGCATCAACCGACAAGATGATGAGATACGCAAATTAAATATGAAGGTTAAAGGTGATAAAGACGATGGCAAAGTGTGTTATGGTTGTAGGTGGATGAACAAGGTTGTAGTAGTGTTCATTGTAATATTTGCAGTCTTTGTTAGTTGTAGGGTTTAGGAAACTGATAATATTTATGGTATGTATGTGTAGTGGCAGTGGCCAGTGTGGTCTGTATGTGTAATGGCAGTGGCTAGTTTTGGTAGTCACCATTACAATTTGACAATGTAAGAATGATGGTATTGCAATGTAAGAATTATGGTATTGATCACAATTCAGCAAGTTTTGGTATTGACCATTACAATTTAGCCTGCTTCACCATTGACAAAAACTGAGTTTTGGTATTACAGTTTAGCCTGCTTCACAATTCACCATTACAAAAACTTCACCAAAACCTACAGACTACAAACTAAATTACAGTTGCAAAGATTCAGTACCAAAATAGCCAAGGCAATCCAATGTACATGCATAAGTCAAACATACTACCAAAATAGCAGATCCAATGCTACAGTCAAAAAATTTTCCATAAACCAATCTAATTAAACTTGAAGTCATTGAATGTCTATTGGGTCATCCATGTTGCCAAAGAACTTCGACTTCATCACTGTCTTGCTCCTTGTGTAATAGGGTTTTTTCCTGTTGGATTCCCTCATCTTTGTTCCTCTCTTGGTTTTGGCTTGCGTTTCAGTTTGGTTCTCTTCATTTAGCTCTCCATCCTGTGCATTCTGGTTCACCTCTTCTTGCTGAGTGTGTTCCCTTTCTTCAGACTGGTGTTGATGTTGTAATCCAGTAGGCTGGTCTCTTTGCTGTTGCTGCCCTACTCCACTCTGCTGACTTGATTGTGGTGGTGCTGCTGCTGTCCTGATTTGGTGAGTGGCATAAATGACCCTCTTCTTGGGCTTTATCTGGAAATATAAACATGGATACATTATAAATACTTCTCAACACTATTCTAAAGCAAAAGTATATCAGATTATACCTTTTTATTTGGATTCGATGGACACTTTCTAGCATTATGTCCAGCCAACCTACATACAGTACAGTGTAGTTGAATATGGTTTCTAGACACTGTCTTTCCATCATGGGTCAACTCATCAACTGATTTATTTCTTAGTTTCTTTGGCCTCCCAACCTGCATAGCACCAAAAAGTTTATACAATACACACTCAAAATATATCAGTGGCAAATGATGACTAGTAGATAAATACTTACCTTTGCAGAATACAAAGGTGGTAATGGAGGGATTCTGTCACACATAGGCCACTCAGCTACACCTGCCATGGGGTTGATACATTCACTATATATCTTCAGATAGGTCTCTTTCGAATAACATGGATGCACATAGTCCAACACTCCACCCTTTCCATATTTTTTCCAAATAGCACAGATTGCGTGCTTGCATGGAATGCCACTCAGCTCCCACCTCCTACAAGAACACTACTGTCTTTCTAAGTCAACTTGTTGTCGATCCCCATATAGTTGTTGAACCTCAAACTTGAAGAAATCACATTGTGTGGCCTGGTAACCTGCTGCATCCTTCTCAATCACCTTTAACTTCTTGACAATGTTAGGAGATATCAAACCCTTCCATTCAGTTGCTTTCTGCCTGTTCTCAAACAATTTACCCATGATCATCCTCCTAATCCACTCTAAGCAGTCAATGATTGGCTTGTCCCTTGCCTCCAATATAGATGAATTCCAAGACTCACAAATGTTATTTACCAACATGTCAGACTTGCATCTTGTAGAGAAGTGGGATCTAGACCATTCTTTTGGGCTCTTATCACCTAACCATTGGTATGCATCTTCATCTAATCTCCTTAATATTCTTAAAGCATCATTGAATTTGTTTACAGTGGTTGCCTTAGCACAAGCCCATACAGCATCCTTAATTGCCTTTCCATGGAAACCTGCCACCTTCATATTAGCATGCAAATGTCTCATACAAAACCTGTGCTCCACACCAGGTAGCACCTCCACAAATGCTTGAATTAACCCCTTTTGTTTGTCACTTATGAAACAGTATTCATCTTCCACATTGGGGCTTATCTCCAGATCATCTTTCAGAAGCATTAGAAACCAAGTCCAGGACTCTCTTTTCTCTCCTTCCACAATAGCATAAGCTAGTGGAAATATACTATCATTTGCATCTACAGTCACAGCAGTCAGTAGCATCCCACCTGTTGCACTTCTAAGGTGACAGCCATCTACCCCTATCAATTTTCTACAGTTCTTGAAGCCTTGCTTGCTACTGTCCCAGCAAACATATATTCTCAAAAATCTTTCTTGTCCACTCCCATCTAGCAGGTCACTGGTCTTGATAATACATCTTGACCTAGGATTTGTCTTACAAATTTCTTCATAGTATCTCCAAATGTTTTTGAAGTTATCTTCCTCTTCACCTTCTCTTAGCTTCTTTGACTTCCAAATAGCCCTATAGGCTTGGGAATCACTCACATAAAATCCTTCTTGACTGCACACCTTATCCTTGAACTTTCTCATCATCCAATCTGGGTGGTCTTTTAAGTGAGTAGACCACCTCTTAGCAACCACAGTAGATTTGACCATAGAATTCTCCCAAACCCAAGAACACCCTTCATGTTCATCTATCATGTTCAAAATTCTCCATGACAATGAGCCTATTACTTTCCTCAAGCCTATTCTCCAAGGGCAACCCTCCTGTGTACACTTAACTATGACCCTTTCCTTGTCATTTTTAAGTGTTCTGATTTCTTTGCCATTTATGAAAGCATAGTTTTGAACTGCTTCTCTAAACTGTTGTTTGGAAGCAAAAGTCATGCCTAAAGTAAAATGGGGATCTTTCATGTCTGTTGCAGCTCTAAATATGGGCCATTTACCTTCCCCATCACTATCAGAATCCACAATTGAGTCCTCATCAGAAAAGTTTATTTCATCCCAACTGTTTTTCAACTTCTTTTTTTCAGCAACTGAAAGTACTTTATTCTCCTGTTTTAAGCCATCACCATCCTCCATTTTTAACCCATCCCCATCCTCCTGCTTCTGTTCTGCATTTAATCCATCCCCAAACTCTACATCATCCTGCTGATCTACCCCCAAACAGTCTACCTCAATCTCATTTTCCCAATCACTGCCTGCCTCAATTGCTACCATGTCAGCATCAAACAAGTCCAAATCATCCAGTGTTTCAACCCAAAACTCCAACATGTTACCTGGGTTGACTTCATTCAATATGGATATTATATCATTGTCTGTTTTTATCAACTTCAATCTTTCATTCCACCAACAATAAAGTACTGTTCCTGCCTCACTATACCCTAAGTGTTTTATCCTATCCTTCAACACATTTAAACAGACTTCATTAGCTTCCATTTTTTCATACACTTCTACATCACCACCCATGTATTTAACTTCACCAACCCTATTTATTATCCCATTATGGAAAAGGAAAACTGAAAAAGGGCCAACTCCTGCTCCTGTCAAGCCACCATTCACACACTCAACAGTCATAATAGTGGTCCCCACAAAACACAGAATAATAAAGTCATATGGAAAAGTTACATAATCACAGTATATGCACATGACATATTCAGAAAACTATAAACATAATGGTCCCCACCCACAGAACACAATTGAATAACACAAAAGTCCATAGATCGGTCACACCCACAGAACACAAAAGAACAAAAAAGAACAACACAAAAATCCAGATTTTGGTCCCAAAATTTCAAGACACAAGTACAAATTATATTATGCTTTATGCCAAGACACAAGTACAACACGACAAACCCTACATATGCTCTACTCCACAATAAAGTACTTTATTTGGCATAAAATTCATAAACTTCGTACAATTTCAACTGTAAAACAAATTTTTTCTTACTTAGCTGTAGCGTCGTTGAGCCAGACCCCATTCCAGTGGCAGACGTTTTACGCATTGAGAAGTCGAATCCAGTCGCAGAAGACGAACAACCCCTCGATGCAATCGTAGATACAGATTCCCTTCCTCGACTTCACAATCACTTGCTCGTACTGTGAGGATTTTAGAAATTAGGGTTGAGGATTTTAGAAAGAAAACATAGCTATTTGTTCTTCGACTTCCAACAGACTTCCGCTGCATTTCCCGCTAATTATTTTACACCTAAAAAGACGGAATTACCCCCGCTATTATATTATTTTTTTATTTGAAACATCTTTCCGGCCGATTTCAACCGGCAATTTGGCCGGGAGGACCTAAATTGCTAAAAAAACGATAGTCAAAGGATTAAATTGTTACTTTTAAAAGTCATGTACCCAAATTAACACACCCCCAATAGTCACAGGACCAAAAGTGTAATTTGCTCTAATAATAATAATAATAATATATGTTTATATAATCAAATATATATATATATATATATATATATATATATATATATATATATATATATATATATATATATATATATATATATATATATATAGTTTTTTTTAATATGTGTGTGTTTTATTTATATCTATGAATGTATATCAAAACTTAAATATTAAAAAAAACTATATATATATATATATATATATATATATATATATATATATATATATATATATATATATATATATATATATATATATATATATATATATATATTGAGGACATTATATTATTGTAAATTGATCCATATCACTTAAAATATAACTATGAACCAAACAAGGTAATATTATATTACGCCATTCAAACCAAACACACAATTAATCTTACATTTTCAAAATCTCACATTACCTTTCAGGAGGTAATCCTATTACCTGGAATAATCCTAGAAAATAAACATATTCTGTCGTCTGTCATGTCATTTTATTACTAGAATACTATCCTGATTTTTAAAATGACTGTTTTAAGATATAGTTTTGAGTAGGGTCCTGATGCGGAACAGGATTTGAGAAAAATAATAGAACAATGGTCGGTCACATGCATGAAGTCTAAGTGACATGGAGTTTGGTAGTTACTTTTTATGAAAATTTGAATTAACTTTAAATATTATTAGTATTTTCAATTCTCATTATGTTTATTTTATAGTTCCTAGGCATGTTTTTATTATTTGCAACTCTTCAGTTTTTCTTAATTGTCTATTTAAACAGACTTTTGTATTAAGAAGTTAAAGTTTGAATATTATTAAAAGTCTTTGAGTTTGAGTTATATTGTTTGTCAACTTATCTTTTTTTTTTTTTTTTTTTTTTTTTTTTTTTTTTAATAACATAAAATGACATTTAAATGGTTATTTTTGTGGTACAAATATTAAAAAGTAAACTAAAAATAAAGAAAAATGTTGTTAATGGGATTTGAATTTGTGCCATAAGCTCTTTACTATTAAATTTGGAGTTCAACCAACTAAGTTACTCAAACTATTATAATTTAAATATAAATATAGGGTTTATATAACATTTAAGGCGTGTTTGGCTGGATGAAAAACATTTTTCATGGAATACATTTTCCTAAAAGTGAAGGAAAATGTTGTTTTATGTTGTTTGGTTGGATGAAACATATTTTTCATTGGAACTTAACTTCCTTAAAGTGAAGGATAACAAAATCCTAGCAAATGATTGATATTTTGTTTTCCAAAGGATTTTGGAAGAAAGTATAACACAATTGGACTATTTTACCCTCATCAAAGTTTATTAATTACACATATATATTATTGTTAAGGACATATTGGTCTAATGGTCTTTATATTCATAATTCCATATCATTCCAAACCCAACAAAACAATGGAATTCATATTCCCAGTAATTTCTTTTCCACCAACTAAACAATGAAATCTATTTTCCTGGTAATTTGTTTTTCATGGAATTTGAATTCCATTTCCCTTCAAATATTTTCCAGCGAACCAAACGGGCTATTAGTGCTATATGCATGACACATTGGCCCCAAAATTCTAGAGGAAGCTGAGCTTGGAAACACAAGGATCTAGCTACGTTGAGAATGTGTTGATGCTTCCTTTCAACTACAGCATTTTGCTGCGGAGTGTTAACACAAGAAGTTTGATGGACCATCCCTTTTTCACCATAGAAATTTGTCAAATCAAACTCAGCCCCATTGTCACTTCTAATGGTCTTAATTAGGGCCCCGAACTGTGTATAAGCAAAGTTATGAAACTGTTTTATCAAGTCTTTAACCTCTGACGACTTTCTTTTCATCAAACGCAACCAAGTAAAATGGGAGTAATCATCCACCAATGTCAAAAAATAACGTTCACCCTTCATTGAAGCTACCGGGAAAGGCCCCCAAATATCTGCATGTATTAACTCAAAACAAGCATTTGAAGATGAGATGCTTATAGGAAAAGGAGAGCGTTTGTGTTTGGCTAGGTGACACACATCACAAGCTTTATTTACTATAGGTAAATTTTGAGCTTCTCTAAACAAATGCATCTTATTCATGGAAAAATGCCCCAGTCTTCTATGCCAAATCTCAGTTTTATTACATTGCATAACCAAACTTTTGTGACCAGCAGATTCCATTGATGTCTTCAACAAATAGAGTCCTCTCTCTTGCTTAGCTAAACCAACCGTCGCCCCATGTGGTTTCTGAATTATGCACTGTTCATAAGAGAAAATTAGACTGTAGGACGTGTCCCGGAGCAACTTACTCACTGATACGATATTAAAATGAAAGGAAGAGATATGCATAACATCTTTTAGGCATAGATTATGTCCAAGGTTCACTGTACCTCTGTTTCTAACAACAACATGACTACCATTCGGTAGACTAACCTCATCTCCAACATTGTAATAGTCATCAAAAAAATCAATAGAACAAGCTATATGGTTTGTAGCACCGGAGTCTAAAATTCAAGTTGATGCACAAAGTGAAAGAGAATTAACTTGAGAGATAGAATATCTGCCTTCTTTATCATCCTCAATGAATTTTGGAATTAGGGACACTGCAGTAGTGGCACTAGAACCAGCAGACTGCCCCATCTGACTCTGCAAAACTATCATTAATTTTTGGAATTGTTCACTGGAAATCCCTATGTCAGTTACGTTGTTCACCACACTTGGCGCGGTATTCTGCTGTTTAAGCGTAGACTTCTAGCCCGGCACCCACCCGAGAGGGTAACCGTGCTTTTTGTAGCACTTGTCAATGGTGTGCCCCATCATTCCACAAAAGACACACTTAGGCTTGTTGTTTCCATTGCCTGCATTTCTTCTAGGATTATAGGTATTCATAGCAGCAACCAAATCCTCTGTAGAACTCTGAGCCTGTTGAACACTGTTAGCCTGACTAATCTCCATACTGCTTATGCTCAGACTTGATGCATTAATCTACCTCTCTACCTTCTCTGCCATCACAAATATCCTATACACCTCTGGCAATGGATCCATTACAAAGACATTGGATTTCAGACCATTGTATTCATCATTTAACCCCTGTAAAAACCGTATGACTTGATCGATCTCCCGCTCTTTTATAATCACATCAATAAGACCACAAACACATTTCGGATCACATTTACACACAGGTATTGGCCTTAACGCATTCATTTGCTCCCACATAGTCCTACACTTTGTATAATAATCACTTATAGAGAGAGTACCTTGCTTTAGGTCATAAATCTCACTTTGTAGAGCCGCGATCTTCTGAGCATCGCACTGTGCAAACCTCTTTCTCTGATCCTCCCAGACATCCGTTGCTTTATCTAGATGCATGATAGATTGTGCGATTGAGGAATGGACAGACCTAAAAATCCATGAGCAAACCATCAGACTGCAGCGTCTCCAAGCGGCATAGCGATCACTGTCTCTACTCGGCGCCGGAAGACTACCGTCGATGAGGCACCACTTATTTTTGACCTCCAAGGCGATTCTCATCGAGATACACCACGAGGCATAGTTAGAACTCCCCATTAGAGGAGGACTGACTAGGATTGTTGAAGGATTTTCGTTCGTGCTGAGAAAATATGGATTCTCCAAGTCTTTTATTGCATAGCTCCTCTGCGAATGAAGACTCCTCTGTGGAGTTGCTGTTGAAGACGTGTGCGACGGCGATCCAACTGCTGGTGTCGTTGCATGTCCTCATTAGGTTGTCTCGCCGGTGACGGCGGCGGCGTACATTCTTGGGCAGCGCTCTGATACCATTTCGTGAAGTAAGCTACATACCAAGTAAGAGAACAGAGAGCATTTGTTTATTCATATCAGGAGGAGGTGGAAAGTGACGTTACATGCAAATGGGAAAGCTGCCACTTATTTAAGTAAAGGTGGTGGCAGTTGTAACAAATCAAGAGGGATTGAAAAATACAATTCTACCCCTATTATAAACTCTTTTCTTCCTCCAATAATATGTGTGTGTGTGTGTGTATATATATATATATATATATATATATATATATATGTATAATATAAATGGGTTGGGGGGGGGAGGGGGGGGGGGGGGGGGAAGGGAACAGCTGCCCCCATAGTGGCTCCGCCCTTGTGTATAGTATAGATGGTTTCTCCTACGAGAATTAAATAGCCTTGTCGTTGGCATATTTTGGATG